TTTGAATAATTTCTCTATATACGGGTAATATGATTAACTATCATAATGAACTTTACACATTACTTTGTGAATTCAGTTACATTTTTTCGGCATTATCAAATCCTGCATGCTGATTTTCAAAAACCTGAGGAACCGACTTCTTTAAATCAAGACAAAGCAGAATGAGGAGAGCATTTGGCCAAAAAAAAAAAAAAACAAAACAAAACAAAAAAAAACAAAAACAAAAAAAAAAAAAAAAAAAAAAAAAAAAAAAAAAAAACCAACCAATATATACATGTAGTCTATTTTCTCAGTTATTTTGAAATGCAACTACATTTTTTTTCCAAATATCTTAAACATCATAATACTGCGGTGTTTATGAATCTACGTAATGGTCAAGTTGTTGGACATATACGACCGAAGTATCACCACCTACGTGACCATAATGATTTGACAAAACCAGCAGGAAATCATTAAGATATATATGGTAAGACTGGGGATTTGCAGTACGGAGATGTATTTATAGTTTTCCTAAAATAAATTTGTTCTTTGTGAGGTGTTGAGTCGCTGAAATCTAGTACCAAAGATGTCTTGATACTCCATTTCGGGTCTCCGATACGAATTAATTTACCATAAACGACCACAATTATGGATTATTAAACCAAACTAGGCCGAAATAAATTTTCATCAAGATATAACAATGTATGAGGAAAAAATATCAACACACAAATTGCTTCAAATTTAGATCGTTTTTACACTTAAGAGATAATGCTTAGCATGTGGCATTTTAGATTAAGATAGCCTGATACAAGATTCTAACAAAAGAAGACAATCTTCAAGTTCCATGTGCAGAGCATTTAATTCACACCCCTATAGATTCAGGTCTGCTTGTTAGAACGCCCCGTGTTTTGTTAGGTTGAGATTCCCATTGATAAATATTGGTGTTCACACTTTGTTCGTCAGCAATAATCTAGAAGACTATTGTTCCTGCAAATATGAAAACCATTCATAAAAAATATACACCATAAACGCTGCACCTGCGGGAAATTAAGATACCCCTCAATACACACACAACATAATAGTTAAACAGATGGGCGATGTCTATCTAAATATGGACTTTTGGATTACAATATATTCTTATCTGTTCGATGAAAGGATGTATTTGGACCAAGAAAGATGTCCCCTGACCTTTACAGTTATTACATTCAGAAGACATTGTCTGTGCAGGGACTTGGTTTTTTAAGCTTTATCTGCAGAATATGAATGATTTCATTCACATCTGATGTAAAGATTATTTGATTGCTTAACAAGCCTTCTCAAAGTTGAATACTGAGCAGAAATTCATTCACAAAATTGAAGAGCTGATTGTTATGATTTTTTTTTTCTGGCTTTGTAACTGACTAGCTAAAGGTGTGTTGAAAAATACCTGATCGACAAGCAGAACTAGATGAAGGCGTAAAGGAAGATATAGAGGGCTTTCTGTAATTACAGTTGATTGATTATTTTTGGAAAAATTTTAATAAATTAGTCACCCTAAAACTGCCCGAGTGGGACATTGATTAATGAAGTCTTTTAACCCTTCCCTGCGTGCCTAACTGTTATGATTTTTTTCACCTTGCCCTTAGAAACAAGGTGAAAAATTTACTTTAATATGTGGATGGCAAAGTATAAACTGTATTGATGATGTGTCGTCCAAAACGTTCGTACATCAAATCACTTGTACAGAATTAGGACAGAGAGGCATCATTTGTGATCTCCCTCATGACAGGATTGGGTACTCAATCTAGCATTACGTCTCTTGTCTGCAGACCTGTGAAGAAACATAATTATTGTGAAAGGGTACAGAATTCTAGTTGTTGTAATGCTGAATCGTGTGTTCAGAACTCTAGGGTTACATCGTTTTGTCTGCAGTTGGCACCTAACACCGGTGATAAAATCACTCCGCCATCTGATCTTTGGAACGAATTGTCTAATACACTAAGACAGTCCACAGGTGCAAAAGGGCATGGGAGCTAGTCCAATTATCTGGTACCCGTTACCCAGGTGCAATTCACACCAACAGTAATAATTCTTAATATGAGAAAAATTAATGAACTTGGACTTAATAAAATCAAATGTCTCATCGTTTTCAAATGATATAAAGTTTGTAGGGGGTTTGATTGTAGTTAGAAAGCAATCGTTGTGTTTTGCAGAGAGCTTAAAATTTGTGTATATTAAACGTTGAAGACAGATTTTTAAAAATTTAATCTCCATCCATTATAAGTCTAATATATCTTCAAATTGCATATACAATTTCATACATGGGAGGTCCGTGTTTTTTACGGGTTTCGCTTGTCATTGTTAATTTAAGGTGCGAAAGATGAGATGATGCATAATTTTTCTCAAAACATTTTTTTCTTCAATTGTCCTTTCGCATTCTATGTAAGGATTAATATTTTTGAGAAGAATAGAACGGGGTTAAATGAAATGCTCGCAAATGGCATTCTTTCTTTGGTTCGTTTTCCCAGTGTACCGGCTAACCTGTCCAATTAATCCGGCTGGGAATAGAAGATTTGACAATTTACTCAAATCTAAACAAAGATATAAACCCATTTAGTCCCCTTTAGTAATACTTAGTCCTAAACACAATGGGTTTAAGGCGGTGTTTTCAATTACATTTCATGTGAAGCAAACATTTTAAGATGCAAAAAAACCATTTGGGCATCCTGGGAATTTTTTTTCTCTCCTTTTAGATAACACTTAAGCTTTATACTCATGCAACGCTTAGAAATATTTCAGCCTTTTTGCAAATTTCAGTTTAAGGTTAACATTTGGTAATCAAGATAAGAGGGTAGGGTTTTCAACAAGTTATTCTACTGTATAGGAAATATGTCTACGATAGTATCTATACCCGTGTACTATAAATGAGCTCTTTCAACACCTTATGAAATAAGGATCTTAGCGTTCCACCCGGTCCTATGGCGAGAGATATAACGATATCATTAAATAAGAGACAAAAACGTACCCCATTGTTCTAGACACAAAATCTGATGTTCGTCTTTAAAAAAAAAACACTTCGAACACCCTGAAGAATTTTTGTTTCCAATCCACTCCAGAACAAAGTTCAGAAACATAAATGACACAAAACAAAAATTAAAATTAATTGATTAATTAACGTAAAATCAAACATGACACTGTTACTGATTTTGATTTAATATTCATTTCATGTGTGTTTGAATGATGAAATTTCGATACGTAAAAATATGTTTAAAGAAAAAGACGTTTCTTTTTTCTTTCGTTCTGCAGGAATCAAGTAAAATCCACAGTGAAGTGTCACACACTGTTCGAGAGGGTAAAAATAACAATGTTAAAATTTTGTAAGCGTGTTTGAAATAAAGAACTGCTTAAAGGATTAGGGGGCAGTGCTGGAGATTGATTATGATTGGGATTAACTTCGTATGCAATCGAAAAGTTAGAGGAATGCAATTTACTTAAAGAATTTTCCTCTTGACCTTTGAAGATGAATGCCATCTTTAGAGGCAGGATAAATGAGAAAACCCCCGTTACCTTTCGTCATGTCACAATGGCTTCTCTCGAAGTATTTAACGGAACTTGCATAACCTCATAAAAATACAAGGCGTGAGATGGATTTTTTCTCTTATTTGTCAGATATTTGTTTGATTGTCGGATCTGATAAAAACTGAAGCGTTTGAACAATTTAAAAACATTTTAACCTGACGCCACCCCACCGAGTTTGCGGGAAACCACGTTTGTGCTTTTAACGAACTTTTCCCATTCTTGATTTACCAATAAGTTTTAATTGGTGGATGTCAAACTAATGGATAAACCCCCATACTTAGTTATCAAGAATCTATGACCTTGATCATACATGAAGGAAAAGGCTTTTATTAGGATTATGAGAGGAAAGCATATGTAGCTCCGAAAGAGGTTAAAGAAAATGTTTATCTAAAGTATTTAAAAACTTTAATACATACATAAATGCATTTCAACCTTTATGGTTTTCTTGAAAATGGTAAATGAGTGCATTACTCTTGACCCATAGAAATATTACTTTTTTTGGAAAAAATAAATTAGTGAAACAGAGAAGCTGCGGAGGACATAATTAATTTATTTGTTTTTTTCTTTTTGGTGTTTTTTTCCTTCTAAAAATGATCCAGTATTCTACCTTTCTAATCTGATTTATCATTATATTAACATAGAAAAAAAATGAAAGTATTTTTAAGTAAAATGTAGAAATGGCTGAGTCAAAACTTTACTTCCAAGCCCCCTGGTTAACGCAAAATTTTTGACCTATGACCGCAATTAACGAACCTTTTAGCAAAGCCATTGATAACGGTAAAATGGATGACTTTGGAGGAATGCTTTTGAAAAATCTTAATGAAGTGTTTGAACATACATTCAACGTTAAAGATCTCCAAGTGCACCGAAATCACATCAATTAAATTTGATGTTCCATGTTTAATTTATTTCTTGAATATCATTTTACAAGTAGAAAAATCCACTTTAGATTAAACATTAACTCACTTCATAAAATTTTACATATCATACAAAGTTTTAAAGATCGACTGAAATGAACGACATTTTATTACTTAAATGTACAATGACCTCACCCCGTGCAATTCAAAATTACATTTATTACAGTCTTATACAGAACATCAATCACCCACACGTAATACGGTCTTTTCGGAAAGAAAACAAACTACCGACGTGTAAAGAAACTGTAAAATTAATTTATTTACCTCATTCTTAATAAGACACAATAAATAATGGAGGCTATACAAATTTTTGTCGCATTTTGGAAATTTATCGGCTCGTTGTGCGAGGTCCGACGTGACACTGTTCACAATCTCGTACAACAAAATCGTGAATCAGAGGTCGCCAATCTTTTTCTAATCTGGACTAATTTCTTCATTAGCGACACTTCTTACAACGTAATAAGATAAAACTGCATGTCAGAAAGTCTTGTAAGCTCGCTGTGCACTTTTCTCGATGATTTATACCGAATTTGTTCTATTTTGTAGAGTGCAGACGGAAGCAGTTTAGCCATTGGTTCAGAGGCCAAGAGGAAATGCAAAGTACGTTATCATTCGTTGCAATCATTGGAAAGGCATAATTTTGAGACAATCAGAACAACGTTTGCTAACTTTAACAAACAACACAGACCCAACGATGATATATAAGAACATCTTTCCCTTCTTAAAAATCCATGTAATGTAAAAAAAAAAAGACTACAAGGTTACCCATCATGTAACACCTAGTAATAAAATTTTGATTGAAAAGCTTGCAATTCATGCTGTAATTAAAAAGAAAATTGTGGTAATCTTATAAGAAGTAAAAATCATGAATCTTTTTTTTAACAGGAAGCCAACAAAAGATGCCCGAAAGATGAGGTGTGTGCTATACAACATTTACAATGGCCTATGAATATGTCATTTGCAGTGTGTGTACCAGCACAATATGTCAGAGGTAAAAATAATAAATGTTGAATACTAATCAATATCACGACACAAAACTTTTTGAAAGAAATCATATCAATAATGGTTCTTCAAACTATAATTCGATAATAAGAGGGAATAAAACGTTTTGAAGACAGGTGTTACAAATTGGAATCGCTCTAAAACATTTTTTTGATTTCCCATTGGTATTTTTTTTTCTTTCAGTAAAAATGAGGATATGTGATCTTCCCCCTCAGCCAGGAGACTGTGGGGCCAGATATCTGAGGTGGTTCTATAATAAAAACATCAAAGAGTGCACATTGTTCTTCTTTCAAGGTTGTCGAGGCAACCAGAACAATTTTCGAAGCAAGGACGAATGTGAAGAAAACTGCATTGCACATTTTGACAATAGCATTCAAAAGAGCAAGAAAGACTTTCAATCTGTTCGAAGTCCAAGAATAGTGACTGAACGGCTGGTTGGAGACCAGGCAGTGGTCAGTGAGAGCAACCGCATCCCTTTAGTGTCCGTTCGGTCAAGGGTTACTGACCCGCATCAAAAAGAGTTGCGGAGAAAGCGTAGACTCGAGAGGAAGAAATTAAGGCAGCTGAAAAGAAGCAGAAGAAAGGGTAGGAAAAGACGGCGTGATGGAAAGGACAGAAAAGGAAAGAAAAGGAAGAACAGAAGAAGGAAGAAGAAGAAGAATAAAAACAAGAAGAGAAAAAACAAAAAGAACAAAAGAAAGAAGAATAGGTTGAACCCTACCACTGAAGGGCCCAAGATTGATTTGTCTAACATAGAGGCGAAATCAAAATCTATTACACCCAAAGACTTTGAACTGATTTCTATCATTGACAAAACAAAGGACACAATGAAGTCCAGTATTGAAAAAATCAAATCGAAAGCGGACAACCAAAAAGATTGAGGATCGCAATGGAACTAACTGATTAAGTCTTGTCAATACATACATGTACTTGTAGAATGGTTGACATGAAAACAAGATATATTCATGTTAATGGAATTTCTCACGTGACCATCTAAACGATGATTGGTGAAATTTAATCACGAGACTGAGGAGCGCTACATGACACAATATTAATACATTTGTAATATGAATTTCATTAAAATGAAATTTTTGGTAGATATTTAACATGTATTTGGTATTTTAACCATATGCATGTATTTAATTCTCATCAAAAACTATCCTTCTTCAGTTAGATATATTTAAATATCCACAAACCAGTATCTTTGTTGTATTTTGAGTGTATTATATATGATTTTATATGTATTTATGAGGGCATTTTGGCATGTCCAGTGTTTTATTATTTTGTTCTGTGAGAAGATGTGTTTTATAATAATATTCTGCGTGTTATTGTATAACATGGTTGTAAATATTACATTTAATCACAACTTAGCGCTGTGTAAATTATCATTATATTTGTAAATAATTATCATTCAATTCATATATTGTTTAATTTTATTATTACTTGAATATGGTTTAAAGTCATAATGGAATATTACTTTTGAATAAATTATATCTGTTTTTAAAATAACTGTTAGTATCAAGACGGAAACATTTTGATAGTGGACATTGGGGAAAAAATATACATATATATCACATCGCAATAAATTTTCTTCGAATTGAGCAATAAGGAAACAATAAAAGTTAAGTCAAGCTGAGATGTTGTGTCTTTACTTTATAGAAATACAATAATATTTAAAAAATACGAGTATGAGAAAAAGTATTCATTTTTGAGGCTGATTTGTAAATTTTTATTTGTTCTATTTTAAATATTTGCGTCAATCACAGAAAAGGACAACCTAACAATGAAGTCAACTTATAAAGATAATCAATATGAAGAATTTTTCTCCTATGATCAAGGAATGATGTCAGGTCAGTATATTACATATAATGGCATTTAAACAATAAAATATTTTCTTTGTTAATGCGGGAATTAACGGTTGCATCTATTGCAAAAATAATAATAATAATATAATAAATAGATAAAAATAAAATAAATAAAAAAATACATTTGCTCGGGTTACGTATCTTTTTTCTGCAATTTGCAATCGTTAATTCCAGATTAACAAAGAAAGACATTTTATTGTTTATATTTATGTCTGTATCGTACAAAGTAAGTTAAATTACGTGAAATATGGTATTATTGCTCATTGATCAATAATGGAAATCAGTTATCATCTTCGTACAGGTGGCCTTGAAAAACCGGTTCTAACTAGTTAATCGGCGCTTATGGTTTGATGAATGCAAGTGGTTTTCATAAAAGACATAATGGAGAAAATATTCACTGGATGTAAATATAACTTGAATTAGGCCTGTACATATATTTTATTAGATTATAAAGCAAAACGGGACTATGATTTTCCGATCTAAGTCCGTTTTGTCTGTTTAGCTATAGATCCTCAAATAAAATTAGTCATTGCCTTTAGCTTTCAACTGTAATTGTGAAACTTACCCTAGGTTTTATTGAACTTTACACGAGGACTTATCACAAAAAGAAACTCAGAATATCACCACTGAAGTTGATTTTGGCGATTTACCTTAAAATTGGAAATTGAACGAGACGGTAATTTGTGATGTGGTTGACTTTATTTTTGATTATCGTGTCATTTTCGAACTGATAAATTTCCCTTACCCTTATCCTTGGACCTTGAAACACGTATCTGGGTAAATGGCAAACATTAGGAATAACCGCTCCTCAACTAAGAACAATAACTCTTAAAGTTATCATTTAATTGAATAAGTCTCAAAAAGAAGCTTGAATTTGAATATTTTTCAACAACTATTTTCATTTCATGCATCTTATATTGTTAAAAAGCATTCTGATTGTACACAAAAGTACACTGAAGTTGATATTATAAAGATGCTTGAGTTTATAATTGACAATATCTATGTAGTTTTTGGAGATCAGGTCTTCCAACAATCTGTTGGAATCCCCATGGGTACCAATTGCGCCCCGTTATTAGCAGACCTATTTTTGTATTCATATGAAGCAGAATTTATTCAAAAACTTCTACACGAGAAGAAGAAAACACTTGCTATGGCCTTCAACTCGACATTTCGATTTATCGACGACGTATTATCAATTAACGATAGTTACTCATTCATATGTCGACTCGATATATACCAGTGAGCTTGAAATAAAAGATACCACAGAGTCTGGCACATTTGTTTCATAATTAGATATTCTACTAGAAAAAGACGTTTATGGTAACCTAACAACAAAGTTTTATGAAAAACGTGATGACTTCAACTTTTCAATCGTCAACTTCCCTTACTTATGTAGCAATATATCCTTATCACCTGCATATGGGGTCTCTCAGTTGATTCGATACGCAAGAGCATGCTCTACTTATGCACAATTTCTAAAACGAGGCAAGCTTTTGACAATCAAGTTGATGAAACAGGGATATCAACAGTCTCGTTTAAAGTCATCATTTCGCAAGTTTAATGGTCGATACAATGACCTTGTCAGCACATACAACCTATCGCTATCATTGAGTCAAATGCTGACTGACGCTTTTTTAAACTAATTGATAGGCCATCATTTATACACTGAAATGTCTACGGATTTTCTCGTTTTTTCCCCGATCATGACAAGGAGCACACGGCGGGTGTGAACAGTCGGCAGGGGATGCGCACTCCTCCATGCCACCTGATCCCCCTCTAAATTTTGAAGTCTGTGTTTGCTTTGCTCCAAATTTGTATCGTTTCATTGGACTTTCGAGATTGAATACTGTTCGTTATCTTCAAATTTCATGATTCAAGGTTCTCTGAAATCTTAGAAACGTTTTGTAAAAAGTAAACTTTAGCACCCCATTAAAGTATATTTTTTAAAAACATTTTTAGATAGAAATCTATCTTCCTTTAATCTTGCCTTTAATGCCAATGTTTATAGCATGAAATGAAATTGGAAATGATCTGTGATATCTTGCAATAAAATCACATGCTTTTTATCTAGCATGTATTATAAAACGATCATACAGTTAATAGAACTAAAATACATCACACGTACAAAATACAGACATTTTCCCCCCCGAATGTTTGGTCACTTATAGTTTTCTCTATTGAAATACTTTTGTTGATCAATTTTCAATTAGAAAATGCCTAATTAGAGCAATATTCACATTTCCTGAAAATATTTTTGAGATAGTTGTTTTTTTTTTTGTTTTTTTTTTTGCTATATAATGGGTATATACACATTACATTGTGAATTCACTGACATTTTTGTGCACGAGCATTTTCAATTATTTGGCTGTTGATTTTCAGAACCTGAGGAATGGACTGCCTTACGCTTTAATGTGGGTGACTTGTCCTGACTAGTAAAGCATTCAACAAACAAGACCAGGACCAGTAGAAAATGGGGGAAAATTGAAAGTACAAGTAATATGTGGCAAGTAGAGATACAAATAGTAAAGAGAGTGATTATTTGTATAATATATTTAGGTCAACTGAATGTTATCTCCTCTAATTCTTGTGTAAAGCATATTGCTGTCATATAAAGCAATAATAACGATAATTACTAAACTAGTTAGACTCGGTATTTAAGCCATCTGTAACTCCAAGTATACCAATTGTTAGTCCATTATTTAAACACTGAAATGTTTACGGATTTTTCCGTTTGCCCGATCATAACAATAAGCACACAGCGGGTGTGACTGGTCGACAGGGGATACTTGCTCCTTCATAGCACCTGACCCCACCTCTGATGTTTTATAGAGGTCCGTGTTTGCTCTGCTCCCGATTTGTATTGTTTCAATGGACCTCTGAGCTTGATTACTGATCGTTATCTCTGTATTTCATTTGGGCTAACTGTATCATGGCTCTTCGTGCAGATCGATGATATATATCAATAAATATGTGAAAGGATCCTTCTTTATTGCGTTGTACTGTGTTTAGTCGTATCAATCTTTTCAGAAAAAAAGAATTAACTCGCTATTTTTTTTTTAGCAGCGTTGCAATGTTTCCTCTATCTGTATCTATCCCGTACTACACAAAAAGACAGCAAACAAATTTAATTTATAAACAGAACTGAATAAGTATTTGCTTCTGAATTTTGTAGGGTTACTGAATATTGGCACAAATTGGCTGTACAAATGCACGAGCTTGCGAATGTATTTGTACAGCCAACGAGTGCCAATATTCACCAATATAAATTCAATAACTCCTTTATTATATAGCTAAAACATCTCCCATTGATCTATATTAATTATTTCAACTAAATAACTCAAATTAATAAGAATTTTTAGTATCGGTATTTAAATTAACGTCTGTCCTGTAAGTGTTCAATATTGCATCATTCCAATGACCCTACCAAGCGTTATTGAGGCGTTATGATATGCTTTTTGAGGTTTTATTGAGGCTAATACGTACTAGTTAAATTATTAATTAATAATCAATTTTGAGTGAAAATAAACACATCTTACCTAGCTACCACTACCTATCATAAATTTGCTTTTGAGAGGTTGACCCACAGGCACGTTTCGTATATGGGATCACCGACTTCTTTTTCTTTCCACAAGGTACCTAACTTAATTTCAGGCATCCCCGCTTCAAGCTCGAACCTCGTATTTTGTATATATATTAATCATTAATCTACTTTAAAATGACATCGTTTTGAGATACTTTTTTGTCAAATAAATCGTTTCAGACGTCTCTGGTCGACCCTCTTTATTGTAAACCACTCATTTATTTCTCGAAAATTACCTCTATACATTTTAAGACTCTAGACGGGATACAAGAACTAACTTCCGGTTGGTATTATAGCGAGCGCAGCGAGGCGGCGCGAAGCGCCGCTCGCGTAGCGAGCTCCATAGACAACGTGTACGAACGGAGGAAATTCAGGTTGAAATCTGCACATTGTTCAAAGAAATTTTTATCGTCCCACGTGAAAATATTCCATACTCCCAATAATCCTTTGCGGTGCATAGCAACATGGTGGCTTAAGCATAGCAACAATTAACTTACTTGATAAAAATAATAAACAACAATTTAATTCAATTTCCATGCCATACTATCGTTTGAGTCCTTGGTACACACGACTTTGTATGTGACGTCATATTTTCGTCAATTCAACGACTCGGGTATTTCCGATTTTGTCGGAAATATCCGAGAAGTTGGGAATTTCGATCCCGATGCATGGAGAGTCAGCAACGATAGAGAATATAGCTCGATAAAAGTGTAATAAACAGAATGTAAAACATTTGAGAAGATAGTTTTAGAAAATGAACTGCGCTCGCCCTAACGGTTTCACCGTCGGACATATTAAATGTAGGATAAAAGCAGAGACTACCGAGTTTTCCATTCTGAGGTCTCTGGTTTCATCGTAGACAACAATCTTAACCGGAAGTTCTTATATCCCGTCTAGAGTCATAAAATGTTTTTTTCAAATTTCTTCTATTGACTTTACTCATGAAATTTCACTTTGGAAGGTGCATATTTATCTGTATGTGTGTCTGCATCTTTTCACAATAAGTTATAGCAAGCGCAGCGAGCGGCGCGAAGCGCCGCTCGTCACTGCGAGCTCCTAAAGCAACGCCTGGGCGAAGAGAAAATTCGGACTTTGCACATTGATCCAAATGAATTTTTTTCCGCAATTACCTGTGGTCCCATAATGCTTAGCGAATTGCATCTCGTCGCAAATAACGTTCTCGCGGTAGCAACAAAAAATAAAATCACCTTGATTTAATGGATATATAGCAAATGAATAGTAGATTAAACGTTCTTGATTAAAATTAGCACTGATCAGACTCCGTTTTGGTAATGCAATGGTAATGCAACATACATATGACGTCAGAGTCTAGACGTAGCAAATATCACGTGCGGTTTTACGAGCCCGATCTAAATTAAAACTGAAAGGTATCTGCGCTCTCCATAACGGTCGCACCGTCAACATATTATATTTGCACTAAAAATAAATTCACCCTTTTTATCATTTAACTTGTTGCGATGCCAATACATTGCTATATGGCTGATGTAACAAAATGATGCCTTCATAATCAAACGTGTTATTAAATTTCATCATCTGAAGTTATTAAATTATCGTGTAAATTAAAAAAAAATGTATTTCATTCAAAGAAATGAAGGGATAAACCCCTCCCCCAATGTTTTGTTAGAAAGTCCTTCAAAGTTATACATATTTATAATCTATAAAAAAAATTCTTTGAAAATTCCTTGTCATTGCTTATATAATATAGGCCATGAACATATGTTTCATTGCAATGTAACAGTTATTTTGTCTCTCTGCTTGGCGAAACACTTCTTTATAGATACATGTATGTATACATATGTCCTTTAAAAAATACATGCATATAATAATGAAAAAAAAACAACAAACAGATATTTTGAAAATGTTTTATTCGTCTAATCAATATATGTCTCATGTAGAATAAGTCTGCATATGTTTAACACATCTGAAATTTGACATACATGTGTCAACATGTGTTCAAGATATGTCCAAAATGTATGACTATTAACATACGTCGAAACATATGGTAAACGTACTGGTTTGTTTTATTTGTTGCTTTGTTTATATAACATAATTTTATTATTTTTCAATTTTACATGGATATATTGTGCCTATCTTCCCTGTAATAAAATACGTTATCTTACCAAATATACATACACTTTTGTCTTGTACAAACATTACGCTACTAATTTCAAGTCTATTCGTACAATGTTACAATATCTTGACAAGTGTATACTCTTGTGTATTATTCAAAATTTTCATTTCTTTCTTTTTTGCGTAATATCTGCTTACTCCTCCATGGCACCTGATCCCACCTCGGACGTTTTTAGAGGTCTGTATTTGCTCTGCTCCCGATACCAATTTGTATTGTTCCAATAGACTTTTGAGCTTGATTACTGTTCGTTACCTGAATTCATATTTCATTATTTAATATAATATTTATGTACATGTACTTGTACTACTGATCATTTTTCAGTCCTTACAATTAATTGTTTCTGTAAACATGTAATCTTAATCCT